TCTGGAATGTGAGGAAGCAAAAACTGCAGCTGACAGCATCACAGTATTATTTAGGTCAGTCAGTACCAGAGGGGCCTGGGAGAAACGTCAGAGCCCTCGACCCGCCAGAGGAATGAGCCGGGTGATGGCAAATGAAGTTGAGTATTGGTGGATGCAAAGCAATACACAGTGAAGAAGAAGAATGAAATGACTCGTACCACTTGTGTGGTTCTAAACAAAAGGGTATCAGCTCAGGGAAGGGACCTGGGTGTTGCTACTGGCTGCCGAGAGACAGTCTTTCCTCAGTGAGCAGCTGTGGTCAAAAAGCAAACAGGATGCTTGGGTGCACAAGGAAGAAGCTGGAGAACGACATGGAGAGCATTATACTGCCTTTGCATACATCACTGAGGCAGCTGGGGACCCCGTCTCCAATGGATAGCAAAGAACTAATGTGGTTCAGAGAAGAGCAGTGAGAATGACCAGGGGCCTGGGATCACTGAGTGTCGAGCGCGTACGCCTGCCCTTTTTTCTCAATTTCTTCTTCTCAAAGTGAGCCCTGTCGGCTACTGCACTTGCGAGATGGGGCTTTGGTGACTCCGTCCTCTGACCAAGTCACATTCTGTCCAAGCGTGAAACCAACCAACCAACCTTCTGGAGACACAATTCAGATGTCCCCTGTCCAACAGCCCTGGCCAGGCACGCTCGTCTAAAACAGCTCACCAGGGCCCAGCAGGCTACACATGCTTGGTCTGGCTAGGCTGTAAGACTTCTACTCTGGAACAGAGCCGCAGCCCAAGGGCTTCTTCCCAGGGACTCCTTGCCTCTATTTGTCTTCAGTGACTCCAGACTTCCTGCTGCGCCATTCCTGCCAAGTCTCAGTTAGCTCCCATGCTCAGTGCCAGTGTAACCCCTTTCCCCAGTTCCCTCCCATCAGCCACGCCTCCCAACAGGTGATGGGAGGGACCCAGTCCCACTCACTGCTCCAGGTCCTTTTAAGTTTGGCAGCCTTGTGCTCTGTCCCTTTATTAATGGCTGCTCTGTTTCCCTGGGCCACTTTCCTGGAGCTCATCTTAGCTAATTCCAATAATCAGCCAGAAGCTCCTTCCTCGCTCTCCCGGTCCCTGCTAGTAGTTACCTGCTTTGGGCCTTGCCTTCTCTCCAGACAGCCAGGAGCACCTCTTGTTTCTCCAGTCCCTCCTAGCAGACTGAACTCACTCTGGCTCTGCAGTTCCTTTTATATGACCCTGCTGGGCCCTCACTGGCTGCTCCATGAAGGCCCAGCCTTTTCTGATTGCCTAGAGTGGCTGTATCCCACACAGCCAGCTTGGAAGTCCTCTTTATTGGTCTTTTTTAGGGCAGGGTGTGGCAGGGCCACCAGGTCTCCAGCTATGAGTCTCAGAGCCTAGTCCATCCCATCACAGGGACATTATGAAAGCTGACACAAGAGTGAATGCTCTGGTGAAGAAAGTTGTTCTCCCAGTCTCAGAACACAAGAACAAGGGGATGGTGACAGTTTGTATACACAGGCTATTTGGCCAGAGCCAGCGCAGCTCAGAGACAACATGCACGCCACCAACAATTCACAATAGGAATGACCCTCAAGCCCTCAAACCTGGAAAGCTAGCTGGAGTTGGAAGATCTTGGTGAGGGGATTCAGAGTCACAGACTTTCACGTCAGAAGAGACCATCATCATCACCAAGACTCACCGCCTGCACATTACAGGCCACTGAACCTCACTCACCCACTTCTGTAATCATAGGTGCCGACTTCCTCTCTAGCTCAACCCACCCCTTGTCCCCAGGCCCTGCCTCCATTCCACAAGCCCCTGCCAAGCATGCCCCATCCCCACTCCTCCTCCCCCTGGAGCTTCCTGGAAGCTGTGAATCAGCTGTTCCCAGAACTCCAGAATCGCTGGGAGGAGTCAGTAAGCAGAGCTGCCAGTGCAGAGACACAGGGCGGAAGAGGCGGGAGTTGGCTATCCATGGATGCTCAGCACCCACTAATATTTCCCATGGGTGCTCCATCCCCAGAGTGCCGACGAAGTCAGTGCCTATGCCTGTAATAAATCCCTAATCTCTGGATGAGTTACTCAAGTCCTCAGATCATGATTAAAAATGTCAAGTCACACTAGTTTATCCACAAGTGACTGTGTCTAATGCTGAAGAGAAAGGCAACATCCCCACCCCCAAGGTCTCTGCCAATCTGACTGGGAGGCAAATTCCTTCCCAACCCCAAACATGGCCATCAGTTAGACCCTGTGCGTGTGGGCATGACCCTCTAGCCAGACACCTGGGAAAGAATGCTCTGTGGTAACTCCCAGCCCTCGCCATTAGTGCCCCATCACTGGGCACTGGATATCTTGGCTGGTAGCAGTCACAGATTGGCCAGATGCCATTATAGGCAGTCCCATTATTTCCTCCCCTCCATAAACTTATGGAGCTCAGTCTTGAAGACATTTAGGTATTTGCCCCTTTCCCTCCCCCAGCTCTCCTTAGAAGCCTGCTCCAGAACTTCACTCCTCTGATGGTCAAAAGCCTTTGTCTAATTTCAAGCCTAAACTTGATGGCCAGTTTATACACACTTGTTCTCGTGTCAGTGTTGGTGCTTAATTTAAGTAACTTCTCTCCCTTCCCAGCATCTACCCCTGTGATATATTTATAAACAGCAATTATATCTCCCTTCAGCCTTTTTTAGTTAGGCTAAACAAGCCTTTGAGTCTCCTCTTGCAAGGTAGGTTTTCCATTCCTTGGATCATCCCAGTAGCCCTTCCCTGCACCTGTTTCAGTTAGAATTTATCTTTTGTAAACATGGGAGACCAGATGACATCTACCAGTGGTCAATTATGAAAGTCATCAGCCAGGGAAGAGGAGAGAAAAGAAATGCAGATTTATCATGTGAATCTGCTACAGGCCTGGCAGGCCAGCCTCCTCATAGCAGTAGCTCCACTCGAGCTCAGTCCACAGGAACCCTTAGGCTATGACGCTGGCCTGATACCCACAGGGAAGAACTACAGCCTGAAGAAAAGGGATAATTACTATGGCTGACAGACGCTTTCCCCTGTTTTCTCAGCACTACTAGGGTGAACCCACCTGGTCTGCTACCCCATCCCACAGACATTCGACCAGGAAAACAATCTAAGAGAGCCTCCAATCCCTGCTACAGAAGATGTGGGAGATGGTTCCTCAAGAACTACAGAGCATGTTAGACGTGTGGGTGGTTGAGGAGTCCCACAGCATGTGGCAGAGCACCCTTAAGTTCGAGCTGAAACGTCATGTGTCAGCCTAACTCTGCAACAATTTTTCCAGAGAGTAAAAGCTGTATGAAGCGCAGTCTGTACCTTATGCCTACAGTTTTTGAGTTGCTAGACAGGCCTGGGGCCACCAAGTACATAATCCACTTTTGGCCTTATGAAGGGCTATTGGCAGATGGTTGTGACAGACGCAGCACAAGAGAAGCAGCATTTCCTGCACTGTGCGGGCTCTATCCATTTCAGATTGTTTCCTTCAGCCTTCATGGAACCACGGCTACATTCCAGCTACAGATGGACCGTGGACTTTGACCACTGGCAGTGTGCCCTGGTGTACATCAGTGATGGGAAACCTACGCTAGCAAGTGGCCCGCATGAGTGGCCCTCCTTCATTTCAGTGAGCTCCACGATTGTTGTAATCAAGGCAGTCTCCCGGGACAGGGTATTTTGCTAACTGTGCTTGTGTATCTCGAATTTGTAGGGTGTGCCCATTAGGGATGCAAGCGAGTAGTCAAGTTGAGTACTTTACTCACTTTCCGCCCCACCCGCTGCCTTAAAAAGCCAGTTCCCCCCAGCACCATCTCTGCGACACTGCCTCCCCCCTTCCCCCACTGCTGCCTCTAACAGAGGCAGCAACAGAGAGGGGTAGAGAAGGCTGACATGAAGCAGCCTCTGCCTGCAGAGGGCTGAGTCTCACCACAGGCAGAAGCTGCTCTGGCAGCAGCTCCTGTTCACAGCAGCCTGAGTTGATAAGTCTGGGACCGCCGCAGCTCTGCATTTTAAATGTAGTAAGAGCTGGACTACACAATTACCCGCCTCTTAACATCCGGAGTACACTGATGGAAACAGCAGAATTTGGCCACCCTGTGCATGGGCAATGGTAAACAAATGTCTTGTACCACACATGGAACCTTAATGGGTAACATGCGACCCATGGCCAGAAGCTCTTTCCTTGAGAAATATCCTACTCCATCACTGGGAAGGAAGCCCTGGTTGTAGAGTGGGCTGTAGACCCATTATGATATTATTTGGTGGAAAATCCTTTCAGCGTCAGATCTCACTCCCCTCCGCTGAACCCAGGGAAAGATACCAACCAAAGGGCAATGAGAAGGTACCTTTCCTTTAGTCCTATTGTTGTCAAGTACTGTACAGGGGAAGACAGACCATAAGAAAACAGGGTTTTTTTCCATCAGCGGGGGAGAATGAGAACCACAAGTTTCCCTGACACCAGGGAGGGAGGGTATGTGATGGGGTGTACCACCCCTTCAGTTCTAGTGGCTGTACACTTAAGGCTTCAAGAGCAATTCTGGGCCCGAACAACCTCACCCGGCTCACCTGCAGAGCATGCGCCAGACAGAGGAGGGGGCTTAAATGGAAGCCAGACATCTTAGAAAAGGGCTGACCAGGGAGGGAGAAGGACCTGCTCTGTGAGCCCTTGTGAAGGGGTGCTACAGGAGTCTTCCTCTGGAGAAATGCACTGAACTGCTGGGCCCAGACAGATTGCAGGTGCTGTTAGGTGCTGCAAACTGCAGGTGCTGGACTACATGATTAGTCATTTACCCACCTTTTAACATCCTGAGTACACTGATGGAAACAGCAGAATTTCCCTGTTACCTGCTCACAGCAGACTGCAAAACTTGGACCACAGAGCGGGTGGTAGAAGTGGCCCAGGGAGAGAGGGGGGCAGCCTAAAAGCGCTGGATTTGTGGAAACCTTTCAGGGCCCTGAACTGAAGCTCAGTGGAAGGGCCAGGGCTCCCCCACCATTCCCTCTCCACAGCAGAAGAGCATGGACCAGTAACCAAGAAGCACTGACCACCACAGGGACACCCAGTGGCACTGAAAGGTGGGAATTCAGCACTAGAGAGGGAAATACTTTCCCACCCAATGTAGGATTACACTGTGGAGATCACAGCTACTGAGGCCACACACTGAGCAAGATGCAGAATGAGACTGGACAAGACTAGCAGAGTTATCACAGAGAACGACATTTTGGAAGGAATGTTACAGGTCATGCTTCAGGGCTCATGCCAGTCCCTAACAACTAAAGGCCAGGTGAAAGCTAACATGGGGGACATATCCCACATCTGCCTGTGGGTCGCTCTGCTCTTTCTTTTGGAGAAGTTGGTCCTGACTACGGTGACAGGCAGGACACTGGACTAGAGAGATTCACAGATTCCAAGGCCAGATGAACCAGATGCCAGGCCTGCTCAAGTGTGGCAATCCCTCTGTTCCCATGAAACTCTGGGGTCCCCCCCAGACACACTGACTGTGCTCTCTGGAGCTGGGGATATGTTTTTACCTCCAACTTCTCAGCTTCAGGGCCCATCTACTCTCACCTGTAGTCCCTGTACACGTAGGCAGGCGGCTCTCTCCAGCATTCTTTCCCCTCAGGATCCAAGAGACAGTTATCAGCATGAACTGGATGACTGAGATCCATGCGACCATCCTGCTCCCCTGGAAAGGGACATTGCAGGGGAACATTAGCGCCTGAGGATAGAAGATACAGCAGGCAAAGGGCACCGCTTGGATTGTGGATAAGCAGGGGCCCAGAGATGGTGTGGGGAGGGGAATCTCTAGGGAGCTAGGACTGGGCTTCCTTTACCCTCCACAGCCGTGCGGCACACGAGGTGCGTGAATGAGAAATGGAGCCTTTTCCCAGGGGTGAAATAGGACTCTACTATTTTCCGGGACTTCTCACTGGCATGCAGGAGCAGTCTGGCATCTCTCCAGTTCACAGTCCCATCCTGTGCCAGCTGGAAAGTAAAAACACGCTTGTGAGAAACCACATGTGTAAGGAACACATCAGTGAGAAACAACATGTGGGTGTGAGGGAGCAGCATGCCTGCAAGAAGTCCTGTGTTCACATGCATGCACAAGCAAGGAGACCAATGCAAGACGCCTGGGACTGTGCACATGCAGGAGAGAAAAAGCCATGAGAAACATCACCTCCATTTCTGTGTATGCAATGGAGAAGCAGGTCCAGGAAAAACACCCTCCTCTGGGCCAGAGGGTGAGAAGCACTCTGGGAAACAACAGGGGAAACAACAGAGGAAATGAAACCTGAGAAAGGCCCCTGCAAAAGCAGGACAGAAACACACAGCCTGGGCCTGGGTGAAGCAGTGCCTCCTGGGAAATAGCCTGTGCCCGTGGGAGGGTCATGAGACCGCGAGAGACGGCCTGAGTGGGCCCATGGGAGGAAGCACACGTGAGAGAAATGTGCCCCCCATGCAAGGGAGTGGCCTGTGAGACAGCTCATGTATCACAGGGAGAACACTCTGTGAACCCCTCACCCACAGTCAGGTGAGCAAGCAGCTGGAGCCCAAGGAACTCCCCGAGACAAGCCATGCCTTGGGATGGGGCCCCAACATATGCGGAAGCATTGAGCCATTTACCTTCAAAGCCTTTAACACTGTTAACCCTTCAAATCTCTCATGGGGCGTGTGAGGGGACTGTCTGCCCCGGTAACCATCTCCCCTGCCGCCAGCTGCCTGAAATAGATTGGAGGGGAGTTTCAGGCACGGTGTCCTTTCTTCTCTCCCCACCGCCCATCCTATGTAAGAGCACCCCTGCTGGAGGATGACAGTGCTGGGCCGGGGTAGGCTGCCCCTCCCTCCATGTCCTTATACCCCTGTAGGCTTCTGTCCTCACCATTGCCAGCCGGAGAATGTCCTTACATTCGGACTCTGTCAGCACTCTGTCAAAGAAAACTCGCTGGGATCCATTCAGCTGGCGAGAGTCCATGGCGACGGTGATCCCCTCAAAAGAGAATGGACCTGTGTGGGAGGAGAAAGGGCTCAGTCTCCTTGTGGGTTCTCTCTGGATCTGCAGAAGCAGCTGAGAGTTCAAAAAGGTCTTTAGACTGCGCCACAAGGAACAAAACCTAGCAAAGACTTAAATCATCCCCCTTTTTCCACACACACGTCTTGTCTCTGCCTCCTACTAGGGGTGTTAAAATGTGTTTATTTAGGGTAAACGTGTAACCGCTGAGGTGGCTTAAGCCCAACTGGTTTAACATGTCCACGCTAGCTGCACCGAGTCATGGCTGGTTTGCCCTACATCAACATTAGCACTGTGCAGTTTCAGCTGCAGTGCCTTCAGGGCTGTTATTTCACAGGTCCCAGAAACAGCATGCACTTGAAGATTTTGCCCAGCAGCCTGTGCTCTATGGGGCAGTGATCCTATTGGATTCCAGAAGGTGGGCAGGCATTAGCCCACCCACATTGGAAGGACCTCCCCCCAACCTACGGGGAGGGTACACAGAGCCCAGAATGCCAACTAATTACTGGGGACAAATAAAGAAAAATCAGGAATAGGTGTAGAGGTCAAAGGGCTAAAACGAGGGAGCCAGATGGGGACACCGAGCAGAGAACCCCAGACACCACCCACTGCCCCTCGAAGGTCTTGAGAGAGCCAGGGGTCGCCGCCTAGTGAACTCTGCCTGGATGTGTGAGCGGATACAGGAGCGGAAATAGGCCCCGCAGCCACAGGCCCTTCCCTTTGCCAACCTCTGCTCCCTGGTCTTGTGAATGGCCATCTTGGCCAGAGCCAGGAGGAGGCTGAGGAGGAGGTCCTGCAACTTTGTGGGGCCACGGATGGTGTGTGCATAAATTAACAGGTGAGGGGAGAAGTGCAGCCAGAACCTCAACAAGAGGTTCTGGAGGAGCCGGAAGAGGGGCTGTAACCTGGTGAGCTCGAGGTAGACATGTGCCAGGGTCTCCCCACACCACAGAAGGGGCAAGTGTCGGGAATGGGGGTGAACTGTGCCAAGTACATGCCTGTGCTCACTGTGCCATGCAGGATTCTCCAGCTGATGTCCTTGGCGAGCCATGGAACCAAGGTGGAGTACAGACTGGCCCACCGGGGCTCCCCACCCTCTATTGGTGGGAGGAGGTCCCACCACTTGGTATCTGGGCAGGTCACAAGTGTGGGGAAGTGGAGCATGTGAAGCACGAGTGTGTACAGATGTCTCTTCGGCGCAGTTCGAAAGGGGACCAGCTGCCACGCGTGCAGCCGGCTCGGGTGATGAGGGGAAGGTGGTCGGGAAGGTACGCGGGGCTCCGTTGGGTAGTGATGGGAGGCAGTTAGTTTGCATCCATGTTGTCATTACAATCATTGAGCCTGGAACAGTAGAGGCTCAGACAGTATTTAGCCCTGTCTTTCAATGGCTTCTGTCTCCCATCCCAGGATCTTTTACTCACCCCTCTGCTCTTGGTCTCCAACATCCAGATTCTCCAGCCTCTGCTTCTCCTGATTCTCTCTCGGGAGCAAGGGAGAGACACAGACAGGGGCTGTCAGCATCCACAGATATAGCCCCTTGCTCCCTTTTCAGTCACACACTCAGCAACAAACCAGAGTCCCAGATTCCAAGGTCAGAATGGACCACAGTGATCATTTAGTCAGACCTCCTGTATACCACAGGTAACACCCCGCATCTCTCTTCCACGCACAGTCACTCCCATGCTCAGCATGCCTCCAACTCACACCCCGCACGCTGCTTTAGCTCTTACCTGTGTTTCTGCTTCAGACTTTCAGGAATCAGCTCCTCTGGGGTCCAGGGATCCTAAAGAAACAAAAGGAGGGGCTCAGCTACCCAGCACACTCTTCCCATGCTGGATCAGACAGATGGACCCGCCTAGTCCAGTGCCCCACTTCCTCCCAGGCCAGATCAGACCACTGGGCCTGTTTAGTGCGTGTTCTTGCCTCCCAAGCTGCATAAAGTTCGGATTTCCACGTGGAAATTCCTTCTTGCCCTCTCACCCCCAGCTGTGGTCACAGGCACAGGAGAAAAGAGGGCTTTGAGGGTCTCCACTTCACCTTGGAGATCATTCTACCTCACATCAATGTTCAACCCTTACAGGGCCAGGACAATAATCTGGTGAAGTGAGTGCTATAGATTAATGAACAGTAAATTGCCTTCATGAGACTAGGGCAGGGAGAACTCAGCCCTCTGAAAGAAGATGCAACTACTTACAGGGTCATTAAAAATTCCTCCCAGATGCTCCACCGCATAGTAAATCAACTTCTTCTCCATCAGAGACCTCTGCACATAGCGCCGAATATTCTGGAGACATGTACAACTGTCAAACAACTGTCCCACATAGGGGAGTCCTGGGGAGACTCCCAACCACCCCCTAGCCTCACAAAGGCACCCTCATTCTGCCTTGGGGAGACCCCAGCCCGATCATCTGTATGTGGGGCCATCCTACACTCTAGTCATCTGAAGGAGTGAGCTGTGACCATGAAAGCTCATGATATCATCAACATGTTTTGTTAGTCTATAAAGTGCTAAAGTGCTACGCATTTGTTGTTTTTTAAGTTTTTCCTGTGTGTGGGCTCTACATGCACACACATATAAAGGCATCTCTCCCCATTGGGACCCAACCCTGGCCGAACCGTAGGGGGAAGAAGAGACTCAGAGAAGGCAGAACTGGAGGAGTGGTGCTGGTACCTCTCTGGCTGTGACTAATGTTCCTTCTCCCAGCTCCGTCTCATACTGTTTCATCTTCTCCAACATCAGCTCATCCGCAGGATAGAAGAGCAGGTAGGAAGCGGCGCATTCAGCAGCCAAGGCCTGGTTCCCAGCTGGTTCAGAGGCAGAGAAGGAGATGGGTATGGTGAGGTCTTGCAACTACGGCTTAGATCCTCAGACACATTTAGGCACTTAGTGCTTATTGAGATCACTGGCAGTTAGGCACCTAGATACCTGTGAAGATCTGGGACTATGAAATTGTTGTGATCAGTGAATATCTGCATGATGACAGTGCTCATTGGGCACACTCCGGATCAGGGCCCATTCTGACATGCCCTGGCTTGCGGGGCTTGGAGGCCAGAGGTCGATGAAGGGTAGGCAATGGGGACAAGGACAAGGAACAATGGTCTCAAGTTACAGTCGGAGAGGTCCAGGTTGGATATTAGGAAAAACTATTTCCTGAGGAGGGTGGTGAAGCACTGGAATGGGTTACCTAGGGAAGTGCTGGAATCTCCATCCCTAGAGGTTTTTAAGTCCTGGCTTGACCAAGCCCTGGCTGGGTTGATTTAGTTGGGTTGGTCCTTCGCTGAGCAGGGGGTTTTACTAGATGACACCCTGAGGTCTCTTCCAGCCCTGGGATTCGATGGTTCTATGACACCCAGACAAGCAATGAGCCTGGTGAAGAACGGGCTCGGTTTGCTAGTTCCATGGAGCTTTTTTCATTGGGGTTAGGAGGTTGTGGTAGAAGGGAGGAAGACAAAAGCGGGGCAAGGGAAGGAGGGAAGAGGAACTGCCTCTGCTCGTAACTTGCTCAGCAGGCTAAGTCCTGGAGGCCTCGGGCAGAGGTGAGGAGGCTGGAGAAGGATCAGACAGTGGCTGTTTGGGTGTCCCCCTACACAGGGCTGCATGGGAGGGAGAAGGCAGTGCTGAAAGGACAAACTGACTGGTAGTGGTGGCAATATGGGCACAGCCCCAGTGTCACTAGAACAGCTAGGCAGGGCAGAGTTAATTCTCCACAGGTCTAACTGGGAAAACCAAGGGGTTTGTGTCTGACAGGGAGGTGCAGGGGCAGTCAGCAGAGGCATGCCAGGGTGCATGGTCAGAGCCCTGAGAAGGTGACTTTAGCAGCAGCGTCCTACACAGGCTTGAAAGGAGGAAGGGCTGGAGAAGAGAAGGGGGCCATGGTAATGGTGAGAAATGGGGGGGAGGGGCAAGGCAAGAGCTTTGGCTGTGCGGATTGAGAGGAAAGGCCAGATTTTAGGGACATCATAGGAGAAAAAGGGGCAAGATTAAAATGACCCTCCAGTGAGAGGGGTGATAGAAATGTAGCCGTGTTAGTCTGGGGTAGTTGAAGCAAAATGCAGGACAATGTAGCACTTTCAGTGAGAGGGGTCGTTCCAAGATGGACCCTGGCTCACAGGCCCCAGTGGGGAGGCGTCCATGGATGGAGAAAAGCAGCAGTGAGGGTGGGATGGCCTTGGAGGAGACTCAAGAGCTGAGTTAGGCTCCCCCCAATCCACCGGACACCACACTGCCCACCTGGGTACAGCCCTCACTCTCCACTCACTAGTGTCACAGCGCCACCTGCTGGCCAGCCGCGCTGCTTACCCTGATCATAAGCAAACTGCAGCAAGTCCAAATGGGATGGGATGAAATCGTCTGTGGCTGAAACCCGTCCGGGCTTGGTGGCAATCTCCAGGACGCAGTGCTGCCTGCACATCAGGACCTAC